TTTAAATTTTACTCTAATTATTATTATTTTTTTAAGTAGGCTCCATGCCTAGCATTTGAGCCCAGCACAGGGCTTGAACTTGCGACCCTGAAATCAAGACCTGAGTAGAGATCAAGAGTCGGATGCTTAACCAGCTGAGCCACCCGGGTGCCCCAGCCCTGAGAATTTAGTATTTTTTTTTTTTTTAATTTTATTTATTTATTTATTTGACAGAGAGAGACACAGCAAGAGAGGGAGCACAAGCAGGGGGAGTGGGACAGGGAGAAGCAGGCTTCCCGCCGAGCAGGGAGCCCGATGCAGGGCTCTATCCCAGGACCCTGGGATCATGACCTGAGCCAAAGGCAGACGCCTAATGACTGAGCCACCCAGGCACCCCGAGAATTTAGTATTTTTAATTTTAATTGTTGGGCTTTGGCCATCATTTAACGCTTTGCCTGACTTCTTGAGGTATCATTTATATACATGTAAAATTTACACCTTTTCTCAGTGACTCATTCTGTGGATTCTTACAAACATGTACTCACATGACACCACCAAGGTCATAGTCATAGAACATTTCCATCACTTCCAGAAGTTTTCTTACGCCTGTTTGCAGTCAGTTCTCTTCCCCGACCAACCATGTTCTGCTGTCTGTCCCTATAGTTTATTTTTTTTTAGCACGTCCCATGAATGGAATCATTACGTAGCTGTCAGAGTCTTGCTTCTTTGACTCAGCATGACATATTTGCCACTCATCCGCATTGCTTTGTGTATCAATAATTTGTTCCTTTTTATTGCTCAGTAGTATTCCACTGTGTGGCTAGACCACAACTTACGTATTATCCATGACCTGGCAGAAGAACATTTGATTGTTCCCAGTTTTTGGTGAATCTAAATAAAGCCACTAAAGAAAACATTCACCTATAGGTTTCTGGGTGAACATATATTTTCATTTTTCTTGAGTACATACCTGAGTGGGATTCCTGGGTTATATGGTAAGTTTGTGTTTGACCTTATAAAAAACTGCCAGACTGTTTTCCACAGTGACTGCCATTTTGCATTTCTACCAGCAGCGTGTGGGACTTTAGTTGCTCCCTTCCTTGTTAGCACTTGATAAAGGAAACTTTCATTGTTATTATTTTAATAAGTTTTAGCCATTCTAATAGGCGTATAGAGGTTTATTGTAGTTTTAATTTGCATTTCCCTAATGGCTGAAAACGTTGAGCATCTTTTCAGGTGATTGTTATTTAGCTATGAGAAGTAGATTTGGGCTGCTGCCCTCTATGAAATCCGTCTTTTGCAGATATTTTCTTCCAGTCCATAGCTTGTCTTTTCATTTTCTTAGTAGTGTCTCTTGAAGAATAAATTTTTATTTTGATATGTCCCGTTATCTAATTTTTTCTTTCACGGTTTGTGTGGTTTATTTATTTATTTATTTATTTTGAATCCTTAAATATTTGCCTAACCTGTATCACAAGCATTATCTTCTTTGTTTTCTTCTGGAAGTTATATTGTTTGAGCTTTTACATTTAGATCTATGATTCATTTTGAGTTAGTTTTTGTATATTGTACAAGTTACAAGTCAAGGTTTCTTGTGTTCTTTTTTCCTTGCCGTTTTTTCCTTTTTCTTTTCTTGTCTTTTTTTTTTTTTTTTTGCATTTGGATGTCCTGTTGCTCTGGTGTATGTGGTCTCTTACACAAATCTTTAATCAATATTAGGAAAAGAAAGCAGCCCCAGTAGTTTTAAACAAGATATGTTTGGTACCTCTTCCACAAAGTACTTTTATACTTTGTATTACCTGCCCCTTTGCTTGGTTTTTAGTTAATAATTTGTCATATATTTGGTTAAAAATTTAAAGCCTTTTTATTGACACAAGAGAAATCTAGGTCACTGGAATTTCTAGGGTAGAAATTAAAATGGCACTTGAATCTTTTTTCCCCCATCCCCCAATAGTTTACTCTTAACCTTCAGTTTGGCAGGGGTTATGGTTATTTTTAGAGTGTAGGCAGTAGAGCTAATCTAATTAAACTCCCCCAGCTACCTGGGACAGTGAGCTCATCAGCTCTTCCAGGCTCAGATTGGTTTGCTCTGGACTGGATTTTACATGGAAATTGATCAAGGTAAAAGCAGTGGATTTGTTGGGAATGTAGTGCATTAAAGAATGAAGAAGCTAATTTATGTTTGGGTCAAGTATGGTCCCTAACTTCTGATTGTAAAATAAGGTTATATTCTTTGGTGATGAAAGAGATTCTAGAATGGTTCCTATACTTGAGACCAAGGGCACCATCATAGCATCTTGCCTATTTTAATTTGGATACTTTAATTCCTGCCCCAGAGTTGAGATGGTTTTAAATTTCTTCATTCTGATAGAAATGTATACAATAAGAATAACAGGTCATTTCCAAAGTGATTGTATTTTATTGTCATCATTTCTTGGCTTTTTGAAAAAGTGGTCCTCCAAAGGGGGAAGGTGTGCACCCCAAGGGGCATTGAAGATGGTCCAGTAATGTATAGAAAAAGAACATTGGAATTTATTTTTTTCTAGAAAAATTAAACTTAGTATTTAATGTAACTTGATTAGATATACATATTGAAGATTCATGGTAAAACTTTTCACTGATCCGGGTTTATAATCCGTTTTGAGACCACTGCTCCAGAGCATCCTGCTGCAGAACTTCTAACATATAATTCTACTTACCTGTACCATCTTGGAATTACTAATACTAGCTTACAAAAAAAAGAAAAGGAAGTCTAGAGAAGGTTAAGTAGCTCATTCATGGTCAGAAAGGATACTAATGGCTTAGCTGATATTACAACCCTGGACTGATTTTCAGTCTAGAACTAATTTTGCTAAACTCTCTGGCCCCTAAAATGTGACCTTTAGAAGCTATCTGCCTACCAACTCTGTGATTAAACAGGGTTGGCATGAGCATTCACAGGGTTGTCCCTGTTTCTGAATTTAGCAATACATTCTGTCAATTTTTCTTCCTCAAAAAGAAGATCTCTTTTTGTAAGAACCTTAAACCACTTTCCCCAGAAGAGAAGCTCTGCAACCTCTCAGTATGGGTTGAACCGTATGGCTCTGCTTTTCCCGCCTCTCAGGGCTGGGAGCTCTGGCTCCTCCTGGTCATGGAGGCTGGGAGAGCAAATGGATTCTCTAGCGCCTTATGTGTCTGTGGCTCAGGCAGTCTGGGCTTCTGTAGGAATTGATGCAGTTCAGTTTTGAGGAAGGGTCTCTGGAGCCACTTTTTCTTTGGAAAGTGATAATGGTGGGGTGGACAGTATGGTATGGTTGAGAGTTTTGCTTCTGGAGGTGAGGAAACATCAGATCTCTCTCAGTTGACCGGAACGTGTGCTTATGACCTGAGTCTTTAATCTTAACAAAGTAGTGCGCTTGTTTTCCCCACCTCACAGGACTTTTGCAGTTAATGTAATTAAGTTAAACCCTCGGTGGGGAAGAAGATATTGCCGAGATGCTCAAGAATATAAATAGGGACTACCAACAGGAAAAAACCAGTGCTGTGTGAAGAATGCTGTGCAAAAATACCTCCTTGGAGTAGGAGGAGGAAAACAGCCTGCTCTGCAAACCGCTCTTCGCTGGTGTTTTTGACGTGGCTGCACAAATCTGTGCTTTGTTGGCGTTGTATCCCAGCACCCTTCCAGGTCCTTCCTCAGACTCGGCCTCCGTCCTGCCAGTGTGTTTTTGCTACTCCCCCGCCCTGGCCTGCGGAGCAGGCTTTGGGCAGCTGTCTCTTGGCAGGGGACACTTTTTGAAGCAACTTGGATTTCTGTAGAGGAGAGTAGGGGGTCAGGATAAGGATGGGGCTGCTTCTGGGATAATTGTTATGGGAATGAAAGGGCTGTTGAAAGATTAGAAGCCAGTGTGCCTGGGTACGAGGACTGGAGTCATAATCATACTTTGTCTTTGACCAGTGCCTTTTGTCCAGGCACTGAAAGGGCTTAACAAAATTCTGGTCTGAATAATATTATTCTTTGCTCTTTGGAATTCGCTCGAGGTGGGAGTGAGGCCCTGTCAAAATAATGAATGTGTTACAGTGGTATGAAAGGAAAAAAGCTAGGTACCCCGATTCCCAGATAGGGCTTTGCCAAACAGACAAATCTGGTGAAAGTTGGTGGAATTAGGTGAAATGATGTTTGCCACTTTTGAAATGGACTGAGATGGTTTAATGGAAATGTGGCCCTTTTCTTCCCCAGCTGTGGACTTGGCGGCTTAGTTGTAAGAGGAAGAAAGAAACCTTTTAGGTTCTTTCTTGGGGGGAGGGTCCTCCTGAATTCTAATTTGGCTCTACTTCTTATAATCCGTAGTTAATACCTGTGCCTGTTAAGTTTGAAGCTTGGCTCCTGAGTGAATATACGGCCCAAGCTCTCACCCCAATAGCTCGGTCTCTTCTGTCTCTCTTGATTTGTGCATAAGGTGATATTCAGAGTCTGACCCGCCTCTTCATGTTACGAAGACGTCTTTCATAGAACTTATGGATGAAACATATGACTAAATTTACAACAGAAGATTCTTGCCTAGAGGGCAAGGCTGAAGCCAGCTCTTTGTGTTAGAGCTCTCTGCTTGTAGTACCTGTCACTGGGTATATGCCTGCTGGTGCAGGTTTGATCTCGGTTCCTTCTTTCCCATTTCAGAAATCACTGCCAGCTACTCAGGTAAAGAGATGGCAGTTGACCTCCCAAAGATATGTCCCTTTATGGAATTTAGACATAGGGGAGGGGGATCCAGTCTCATTTTCAGCAGCTGACAAGCCCTGTTGAGCACACACTCAAAATTTTTTTTTTTAAGTAGTCTCTACACCCAATGTGGGGCTCGAACTTAGTGCATTAGAGCACTAGAACAAGAGTCGCGTGCTCCACTGACTGAGCCAGCCAAGCATCCCTCAAAAAATCATTTTTCTGAAAATGACAAAGGCTGTGCATGGTTAAATGTCCGGTCCCTTTTATCTTCTCTCCCAGATTATTTCCTAATTGTTTCATTTTCTTCCTTTCCTAAATGCAGGCTGGCCACAATAAACATCATTCAAGATGTCCAGCAAAGGGAGCAGCGCAGATGGCAAAACAGACTTAGCCAATGGTAAGGGGCCACCTGAGGTTCTTCTTCTCCCCCAAAGAAAGTGGAGACCTGGATTTTAGTGGAGGGAAGAAAATCTTTCCTAAGAGTGGACCCTTCTGTGTTGTTTTGTGTGTAGAAAGCTACACAGGAGACACCCTGAACTATCTGGTACTTTTGTTCCTTCAACTTCTATCTGTTTCCAGAAAATCAATAATAGAGGTGTGCCATTACGAGGAGTTCAAGTAGTTTGGAATTCTGAAAGGTTGTAAGAGTGGCTGAAACCTAGAAGGAAAAGATCAGTTGGTGGTGGAAACAAAGGAGCTGTGGGAAGTTAAGGTTCCCCAGTTGTGATGAGAGGTCTCTTTCTACGGCAGGTCCTAGTTCGGTAGAGATAGCAGACGAGAGATGAAGTTACAGCCTAAACTGACTGGAGTAGGGCTGGCCTGCGTTCTTTGTAGGGTCTAGCTAGGTGTGAATTCACTGGGTCTAGGGCACGTTTGAAGGTAGAATATCAAGATTTTGATAACAGATTATTCGATTAATGCTTGAACCCTGAGCCAACTTCTAAACTAGAGAAATGTCCTTCAAATGGATATGATTGGGCAGCACAGTGTTCAGCATTCTTTAGCACGTTGCAGATCAGGATTATAGGCTCAATTCCAGTTGATGAGATTGGTAGAGCAGTGAAGTTAAGTAAGGGAAAGTGAGATTTTTCAACATGCTGTTTATTGACCCTGTGTTCTCTTACCAGTGCTGTTCATTCATCTGTAAAAGAAAGTGGTTCAGATTTTTCACTGGGCTTCGTTGAGAGACTCAGGGTTCTAGGTGGTTTGAGGTATATAATTGATTTGGAATTTGGCTATCAGCTAGATCAGGGATTGGCAGACTATGGCCTGAGGGCCAGATCCAGTCTGCATGTGGCCTGTGAAGGCCCTTGATAGAAAAAATTTGTTGACCTCTGGATCTTGGTCATTGACCGTTAGGGTCCCCCTGCTGAGCTTGTGATTGACTCTGGCCCTTATGTTAATATGGGAGAGCTCCCAAGTCATCTTGATTGGTTAATCATAATTTTAACAAGAAATGCTAGGAGATTTGGTGTTTTAGTTTTCCTTCTCCACAGAAGTGAAATGTGTGGTGTTTTATCCTTTCTCACTACTCCCAGTTTCAAAGCCAATTGTATTTGAGAAACCAAAACTACTAATCTTTCTCAGCATACACAGCGGTCTCAGCAAGTGTAGTTCCTAGGAACAAATTGCTGCACTTACCCCCTTTTTCTTCCAGTTCCTACACCCATTGTTTTCATGCTGGGATCTTAGTTGAGGTACTTTCTGAAAAGAGCTGTTACAAGTCTCCCAACCTTCTGTGGCCATTTGAACCAACGTGCTTGTATTGTTCATCTGTTTTCCGTGGTGGGTTTTGCCTGAGAGTTTGTCGTGCAGGGGTTCCGTTGCTGCAAAGATCTTTGGAAATTACTGCTCCAGTCCAGGTGACTAGGCTGTCAGGCGCTACTTGGAATCCTTTCGACGTCCTTGTGGGGTTGGATAGATCCTACCAGCGTTGCACATGCCTGGTCTGCTGTTCCTAACAGCCTTTACTTCTGGCGAGGTCAAGTTTGTAATCATCAGGAAAGGAGGCCGTGAATAGTGTTTAAAGTCCTCATTCCCGCCTTCCTTCCTTCATACCTTGGCTTCAGTGTGGAAGTTGTCGTCATATGGCTCTAGCACATTGTAGGAGTGCTCACTGAAATATGATTTGGCTGCTCTTAGATAGGAGAATGCAGTATCTAATTGTCGGGGATTAGATTGCTCAAAGTGACCCAGTTCTTTTATAACCACCAGCATGGCAGACCTAGGATATGGTGAACTTTCCTTCTCAGATATTTGTGTATGCTTTCTGATAAAACTCTACCTCAATAAAGAGTCCTTTAACTAATAGTAGCATTAACATCATCACATTAATGGAAGTCAGAATACATTTATTAGTGAAAAGTGAGCAAGAACCCATTCTAATCACAATCCCCACTTGTCCCTTCTACTTCCTTTGGATTGTTAGTGGATTATAGGACCTCAAGGGAAGAAATTAGGATTTAGGAAGGGTGGGGGAGTGGTGCTTTCTTGACGTAAGAAATAGTTCAACTCCACACCCATTGTCTGAATGATTTTAATCTGTTATTTTCTGTCTTTCTCTGAGAAGATGTCTATACCAACTCTTGCTGGGATGGCTATTCTTTTTTCTTATATTCAGTTTAATTATGTGCTGTGGCTAATGGATGTGCGTCCCAGCAGAACAGAGCTTAAGGTGGTTGTATTGGATGTATTTGGACACAGCTGGTCCGTGCTTTGCAGGAGACTCTTAGGCTGTCCTGCAGTTCTTCACTTGTGTTGAAGTACCTTTATTTGCATGTGGCTTTGGTCTTAATCTTTTCAGTTTCTTGTCCTTTTCAAGATTCCCCTTCAGAAGGTAGTCTTTGTAAGCATTTGAACAAAAACACTGTAACCAAAGTTGGTGTCTGGATCTTTTGATGTGATGATTTCTTGGACTAAGGCGGGGACATCCTTCTGATCGCTCTCCCATTTCCTTATTTCCCCCTCACCCACCTGTTCCTCACTAACATGCAGGAAGCCTGTCCAGCAGTCCAGAGGAGATGTCTGGCGCTGAGGAGGGGAGGGAGACATCCTCAGGCATTGAAGTGGAGGCCTCAGACCTGAGCTTGAGTTTGACTGGGGATGATGGTGGCCCCAACCGCACCAGCCCAGGAAGTCGGGGTACAGATACAGAGAGCTCAGGTGAAGACAAGGACTCTGACAGCATGGAGGACACTGGCCATTACTCCATCAACGATGAAAACCAGGTCCATGACCGCTCGGAGGAGGAAGAGGAAGAAGAAGAGGAGGAGGAAGAGCATCCTCGGCGCCGTGTCCAGCGGAAGCGGGCCAGCCGTGACCAGGACTCGTCAGATGATGAGCGAGCCCTGGAGGACTGGGTGTCTTCTGAGACATCCGCCCTGCCCCGCCCTCGCTGGCAGGCCCTTCCTGCTCTTCGGGAGCGGGAGCTGGGTTCCAGTGCCCGCTTTGTATATGAGGCTTGTGGAGCAAGAGTCTTTGTGCAGCGTTTCCGCCTGCAGCATGGGCTTGAGGGCCATACTGGTTGTGTCAACACCCTGCACTTTAACCAGCGCGGCACCTGGCTGGCCAGTGGCAGCGATGACCTGAAAGTGGTGGTTTGGGACTGGGTGCGGCGGCAGCCAGTACTGGACTTTGAGAGCGGCCACAAAAGCAATGTCTTCCAGGTGAGACAAGGGAGCGGAACAGCAACTGAGAAAGGCAGGCAGCAGTTAGACAAGCCTGAGATGCCTGGAGTGGGAGCTGACAGTGAGTTGTGGTAGAATTAGGCATCAGGACTCAGTCCTGCCACGGCTCCCGTGATGACTTAGAGGAGTTAAATGCCCTGAAAGACCCGTTGACAGCCTTTTGTTTTTCCTAAGCACAGAGGCATTTGGAAGCCTTATGATAGGTGGGCTGCTTGGAAGTCCTCAGGAAGGTACTCAGTGTGCCCGGGGGGAGGCTCTTGAGCCATACTGGGTTCAGTTCCTGGCACTACCCCTTATTAGCTTTGTGATCTTGGGCAAATTCTTTAATCTCTGTCTTTAATCTGTAGTGTAGAACTAATAACACAGAGGACCACGAGAGTTATACAACAGTAGAAGTTAAGCAGTTTAGAACCATTCGTGGTGCTTAATAAACATTTGATGAGTATTTGTTAGCCTTGTCATTCTCTGTTTACTCACCAGCCCCATCCATCATTTTGGTACTGGCACTGATTCCTGGGCATGATCACTTCCCCAACAGCCCCTCTGGTTTCCTTTGTAGCAAATTTCTGTTTGCTTCCTGAATCAAGATAGGTTTTCCTCCTCTTTTCCTTACATTTCTCCCCTAGTAGGTGTAGTCCTAGTTCACCTGAGCACTTACCCTGTACCAGTTCAGCCTTGCAGAGTCAACAGAAATGCTCTCTTACATCGGGTTTTCCTCCCTCTTCTTTAACTCTTGGAAGAAATTGGAGTTGAGCCAACGGTATAAGGCTAGGAAAGCTAAGTTTCCAGCTGTTGTGCGACCAAAGGGATGGGTTAGGGTTGTTATTACAGTTTTCCCCTCTCAAATTCACCTCCTCAGTTTCTTTTGTATGTCCCTTTTCTCATTAATATCCCAGGCCAAGTTCCTTCCTAACAGTGGTGATTCTACTCTGGCCATGTGTGCCCGTGATGGGCAGGTGCGGGTAGCAGAGCTGTCTGCCACACAGTGTTGCAAGAATACGAAGCGTGTGGCCCAGCACAAGGGAGCATCCCACAAGGTAAGTAAGCTCTTGCCCTCATGGTTGTATGGTCTAGCTCCTCAACCAAGGATCTCAGCCAGGGCCTTCCCAGATCTCTGCCCATTGTGTCACCTGCCTCATTTCTTTTGTCCTAAAATTTGTAGATAAAAAAGGAGAAAAAGCAGCCACCTTAAACTTCTTGCAAGTGCAGTATTTGAAAGCTTTCTAGATCTTGTACATTCAGCATTCAGTTGATTATACCTAACCCCTAAGCTGACCAGTGGTTGGTTTGGAAATCCTTGAGGTCTCCTGTGTCTTCCAAACCTCTTAAATTTATTTTGGTTGTATCTAGAACACCTTAACAGCTCCAAGGTCCTAGTGGTCGCTCCTCACACGTGAGAGCTCCAACTTTTCTCTCAGGTCTCAGGGCACAGACAGTACTATTTATGGAAGCCCTATTTAGGACTGGGAATATAGAACAGACAGTTGTGGGGCAGCCAGTGAGGAGCTGGGAGCTGCCTAATGTCAGAGTGGTCATGCTGTAGGAGGGTGGACCTCTTTTACAAACCCTAAGCTGATAGGTAGGTGGACCTGGAATGTCCTTTTCTAGCCCAGATGGCGCAGAAAATACGAAAGTTACCTATTTCTTTGATTTTTAAGCCTACCTTCAACCCATTAGTTAACTAATTTTTACAACTAAAGTGTAAGGAGTGAAACTTGGGCACCATTTCTCTACCCATCTGAGAGTTTAATTGATTTTGTTTGAGAATGAACCAAAATGGTTGATGTTTTTCTTTGGTATCCTTATTCAGATAGATCCCTTGGGGACTTAGTTGAAATAGCAAAACTCCTGTCCTTTTTATTTGAATGGAATAAACAAGCTGTAACAAATTCACATAGAACAAGAGCAAATGGGTTTATTAGTTCCTTTCCTGGGGTTTTACAACAAAAAAGCTGGACATGTCTCTTGCTGAGATATTTAAAAATGCAGTCCTTCCTAAAGATAAAGGAGTGAACTAGATGGCTTCTAATTCTAATCTATAGAAACCTTTGTTTTTTTGTCCCTCAGTTGGCCCTGGAACCGGACTCTCCCTGTACGTTCCTGTCTGCAGGTGAAGATGCAGTTGTCTTCACCATTGACCTCAGACAAGACCGGCCAGCTTCGTAAGTGTAGCAGTAATGTTTTTACAGAACTGGACTTCTTGGCCTTGAAAATACCTCACCTGTCCTAGGTAATACCCACCTCTCTGGTCAATCCAGAGTCTCTCTGTGCCTGTGCTAAGAAGTGGATTGAGGTTTAGGGCGCTTCCTCCCTTCTTTGTTGTTGTCTGTCTGCTGCTCAGCAGTACAGTGCTGTTCAGTCTGCCTTCATTTCTAAAACAAGGCTCGGTTATCTTCCATGTGGGCTGTAATCACTTGTTTATCTCTCCATCCACTTGGGTGCCACTCAGCTCACCCACAGGAAGCACATTACAGAGCAGCTAGTTTTCAGTTCAATTATGTATAGAAACATGTAAACAAAGGATAAATCTTGCACAAAAATATTAGTAGCTCTAATAGGGTTCTGTCATATCACAGTTCCTTTTTACGTGAATTTGAGGCTCATGGTTAAATCACATTCCTCATTAGCTGTGTGATGTCATAGAAAGATCAGAGCATCTTATTTGGATCTGGACAGACGTGGGTCAGATTGCGACTCAGGCACCACCATCTAACCTTTCTGAACGTTTCTCAGCCTTCCTTTGGGCCTAACCAGTCAATATTTGTCTCTCTCATCTCTGTGAGTGTTATGATAAATGTCCTTGATGCCCCAGCATAGTGTCTGGCACCATGTTTGGAATTGATTATATTGTAGCTACTAATTAATTTATTTTTAAAAATTTCAGTTGTTATAATAAGCAAATACATCTTGTTTTAAAAATTCAAACAATAAAGTATATGGACGGGGCGCCTGGGTGGCTCAGGCGTTAAGCATCTGCCTTCGGCTCAGGTCATGATCCCGGGATCCTGGGATCGAGCCTCGCATCGGGCTCCCTGCTCAGTAGGAGGTCTGCCTCTCCCTCTCCCACTCCCCCTGCTTGTGTTCCCTCTCTCGCTGTGCCTCTGTCAAATAAATGAAATCTTTAAAAAAAAAAATTGCTATCTTGTTTATCTAGATTTATCTAGATAACTAGACTTGTTTATCTAGAATTATCTGGATTATTTACGGTTCTTGTTAAGTCTTAAAGATGTTAACAAATCGGGCGCCTGGGTGGCTCAGTTGGTTGGGCGACTGCCTTCGGCTCAGGTCATGATCCTGGAGTCCCGGGATCGAGTCCCGCATCGGGCTCCCTGCTCAGCAGGGGGTCTGCTTCTCCCTCTGCCCTCTTCCCTCTCGTGGTCTCTGTCTCTCATTCTCTCTCTCTCAAATAAATAAATAAAATCTTTAAAAAAAAAAAAAGATGTTAACAAATCTTATATGTCGTTAGCTTAAAATATTAAGTAAGGGATGTCTTGATTCACGTAGTATACAAGTAGAATATAAGCTAATTTAGGGCATATAATCTCAAAGCTGGTTATTACTAGACTTTTATTTTTCTTTATTTTTTAAGATTTTATTTATTTATCAGAGAGAAGAGAGAGAGCGCACAAGCAGGGGGAGCAGCAGGCAGAGGGAGAAGGAGAAGCAGACTCCCTGCTCAGCGGGGAGCCCGATGGATCATGACCTGAGGGGAAGGGGATGCTTAACCTAACCAACTGAGCCACCCAGGTGCCCCTTGTTATTTTCATTCTAAAGTTCCAGAGGGGAGGGGAAGTACAAAGATGCAACAAATGGGCTGTTTGTTTGGTCTGCTCTGGTAGAGAGTTGGGAAGCAGAGTGGAAGCTTATTCTGTCTGCCAGGTCATAGGAAAACCACCATTAGACCACAAGGAGTTGGGGACCATATGATGGGCAAAACAGATGACTTTGGCAGATTATTGAATTTGGAATGAAATGACATAAGCAATGGCTCTGGATGCAAGCACTGATAGATGGGATAGAAATTCAAAGAGGGAACATAGGAGAAACTTGAAGTAGGAGGAGGCCCAGATCCTGGATTTGGGGAATAAGAGACTGAATTTTCAAAAAGTTTTTGCTTTAGGGGTTGAAGAAGTAGTAGAAAGCTGAGGTGGGGGACTGAATGTAAGGTCCTGGCTGGAAAATACAAGCTATCCTTACATGTTAAGCTGGTGTGTGAACATTCACTTACATCAGAGGCATTTTTGTGTGAAGCTGGCATAATGGGAACTTTTCTTTTGTGTATTTATGATAGCTAAGTCTCTGGAAGCTGGTAAGATTGGCTGACATTTTAGGAAAAGAGTTGGATTTGGAGCTGTGGGTGGGATATTCCTTTAGCCAGTGGAAGCCAATTTGAAATATTCTTCAGAGGACTTCTTTGGTCTGATCTGTAGTTCTTTTTCCCTTTTTGTTGGAACATACCTGCTACTAAAAAACCCTGCAAATTTAAAGGCAAAATTTGGTAAGTTTGTTTCTTATGTTTTCATGTGCTCCCTCCTTCTGATGTGAAAAAAAAATTTTTTTCCCTTACTGCCATGGTTGATTATTTTTATAGCACCTCTGCAAGTTCCCCAGAGAGCCCAAGGTACTCTGCATTTATCCATTGGGAGAGAGAATTTTTCATTTCAGAGGAATAAATTGAGGCATTAGAAAGATTGAGCTGATCGTCAGGATTACAGGATGGTGGAGCCCTATTTCATAATCTATCCCTTCAGTTTTTTCCTTTTGCTTCCACATGGTGGTCAGCTTTTGTTTGTCTGACTCTCTCCTTCTGAAAATCCACATTGCTGAGAAAATGAGATGATCTTGTGAAAAGCAGAAGCATCTGCTTTTCCCCATCTAAAACCTGATTAGAGCTGCCTCTTCTCCACTGCTAGTTTTGTTCCTTAAACTCATTTTGGATGTATTTTCTACCTTGTGTTTTTGAGGGTTGTGTATGTGTGTGTTTTCCCTAATGGCATTCATTTTTAATGATCTTCATGCACCGTTTCTTTTTTAAAGATTTTATTATTTATTTAAGAGAGAGAGAGCGCTCAAGCACACAAGTGGGGCAGGAGGGGCAGAGGGAGAGGGAGAGGCAGGCTCCCCGCTGAGCAGAGAGCCCTATGCAGGCTCGGTCCCAGGACCCTGGGATCATGACCTGAGCTAAAGGCAGATGCTTAACTGACTGAGCCATGCAGGCACCCCCATATACTGTTTCAATGGAAAGCTACAGAGATTTTAAAATCAAGTAAAATCTCTCCATTTGCTTAGAGCAGTTCTAGGCTGGAGGGACTTTGACCATGCAGAGAGGATGAAATGATATTACATTTCTTTACAGAGAAACTCGTTGTCATGGTTATATTTCTTTCAGTTTCCATAACAACAGAATGAGCAAAACCTTAGAATTAAAAACAAAAGCTAGAACCTAGCCCTTTCCTTCCCTGTCTTTCCTTTCCTGTAAATTTACTAATCTCTATGATACCATATTTGACTGGCTGGACACTTAGATTTGGGAAGAGTATTCATAGTGCCACCCTTAAGATGGGACAGATATGGCTTTTAGCCAGAATCTTCTGGCTAAAACTCTAAAATTTTATAGGGTTTTCCTCAGGACCCCAATGCCCTCTTAAGGATCGCCCTTTTTTGTGGTACAACCAGAGGAGTAATTTAGAGGTGACTTTCCAGCTTTAGAGACAGCTGTCTTCATAAGAATCTCCTCTCCTAACTTGCTTCAGATAAAGGAAGAATGCTGCTTTCCTTTGGACTGTCCCTGTGCTAGAGATGTGGCTTGTCATTCTTAAGTGTGCATTTTTAGAGCTGGGTTGTGACACTTCTGTGGAATCTGAGAGGTAGATTCTTTTTTTTTTTTTTTTTTTT